GAAGGAGACTTCACGCCATTGCACATTTACATTCAGTTTCAGTTTTATTGAAGTCGAGAGACATACATCTCATAGACATAACACATGTAACTAGTGCTAATTGTAACGGGGACCGTTACAGATGTTCCCCAAACGCTCCCCAACTTCATTTTGGTGCCTCATTCCCTCTAAGCTTCATCAAATAAACTAAACTCTATGCATCTTAAACTTAAACAACGTTTTTCATAGGGGTGTGCAATATTATCGATATATCGGTATATTGCAATATTAAACCCAACGATAATATATCGCAATATATTTTTTCAATACCGGTATTGACGATATCAAAACTGGAAGTATTACACAAACGCTAAATATGGTTATTTGCAGTTGTAAAGTTTGTTTTTGTTAGTAAATAGACATTGCAACAGTGTGTAAAATGTAATAAAATTAAAAGGATAAATAATTATATGTATTACAATTATGTTGTAGATTTAATTCAACAACAGTTAATTTTTTTCCGGAAAACTGACTCTGGTTTCGTACTTTTCTTTATCAAAATGGCGGACGAAAAATTGTTATAAACCATGTTTAGCCAGTTTAGGTTTGTGATGCTTAAATATTCTGATTCCTATGTCTGAGGACGCATACCACGTTTAAAGAAATAAAAGAAAAGTTGAGATATGACATAATACAACAGTTTCTCAATTTCTACACAGTTATTTTTAAGAAAGGGAGAACCTGTCAACTGTCTTAATTTTACTCGAAAAATATGTCGATCTCTAACACTAATAACTAAGACACTTAGACAGGGAACTATAAATAAACAGTGAACAGCGAACATTATCTGACGTGAAGTGATCAGATATGGTATTTTAAGTTTATAAATACACTATTTTTCAGTTCACTTCAAACTTTACATGAAATAGACAGCAATGCAATATATTGCAATATTCATCGCAATATGCCATCAAATATTGCAATATATCGCAATATAATTTTTCTGGCGATATCCACCCCTAGTTTTCATTAAGTATACCAAGTATATAGCAAATTTTTGCATTGCACGTGTGCACACTTGCACGCATATGCGGAATGACCATATCATTGTATCTACACTATTAATTTTTTTTTATGTACGTAATATCAAGGCATGTAAACAAAAAGGTATTTGAAAATACGCTAAATCAAGTGCATTTGTAATTATACGCATTACACGTGCACGCACGTGCATGCATGTGCATGATGACCACCCTTCTTGTAGGGGTCCATTAAGACTATCTATTTTCTAAATCCCGTCCCGTTTGGCTGAAAATCAAGGGAGTTATATAGCCATTTAAAGTTTTAACCAATCAGATTGCAGCGCATGTGCATGCGCGTGATTTCATGAAAATTATTTTATATCATATCGTTGGATATCTTAATGCATTACTATGTTTTAAGTTTCAAAGTATTTCGTCAAAAAACGAATAAGATATTGAGATTTTTGTTTCAGCCAATCGGAGCTAAGCGCACGTGCATGCGCGTGAGTTCATGATAATTTGACATTGTTCTCTTGTCTATAATACTGATATATTCTTATATTCTGAGTTTCAACACATTTCATCAAAAAATAGAAAAGTTACGACTATATCAATTATATTGGTCATTTTACATGTTGCACGTGCGCGCTCTTGCAAGCACGTGCGCGCAAAATGACCTTGATTCCGCAAATCTACATAACATGTCTACTTGCCCTAAAAAGGTTTTACCTACATTAGATGAACAGTTTACAAGATCATTCGCGGACAAATAAGTACCCAGGAAGAAGAAAAATAACTAGTGCTAATTGTAACGGGGACCGTTACATGTTTCCCCAACTCCCTTTTGGTGCCATATTCCCTGTAAGCTTCATTAAATAAGACAGACTCGATGCATTTGAGACTTTAACAACGTTTACCCAGAAGTGTACAAAGTTCATTAAAATTTTAGCATTGCACGCGTGTGCATGTGAATGCATGTGCGTAATGACTATGTCATCTTGTCTACACAATCTATATATTTAAATATACTAAATATTAAAGTATTTAATCCAAAAGTATTAAAAAGATACGCTCATTCAAGTGTTTTTTTGATTTTGCTCATTTCACATGCACGCACGTGCATACATGAGCATGGTAACCATATCTTCTTGTAGATGTCCGTTACATCTATCTATGTTTGGTTGAAAACGAAGGGAGTTATAGCTGTTAAAGTTTCAGCCAATCAGATTGCAGCGCACGAACATGCACGTGTGTGCATGTGCATGGTGACCATATTTTCTTGTAGTAGTTCCGTATATCTATCTATGTTCCAAATCCCATCCTGTTTGGTTGAAAATCAAGGGAGTTATAGCTATTTAAAGTTTAAGCCAATCAGATTGCAGCGCACGTGCATGCACGTGTTTTCATGATAATTGCTATATATCATATTGTAGGATATACAAATGCATGGCTATTTTCAAAATTTCAAAGGATTTCGTCAAAAAACAAGAAAGATATTGATACTTTAGTTTCAGCCAATCAGAACGAAGCGCACGTGCATGCGCATGAGATCTTGCTATTTTGACCATGTCATATTGTCTATGCTTCTAATATATCCTTATATTATAAGTTTCAAAGCATTTCATCAAAAATTTTAAAAGTTACGCCTATATCAATTAAATCGGTCATTTCACATGTTGCACGTGCACGCTCTTGCAAGCACGTGCGCGCAAAATGACCTTCGTTCCGCAAATCTACATAACATGTCTACTGACCCTAAAAACATTTCACCTTAGTCGGATGTATAGTTTAAGAGATCATTCCCGGACAAAAAAGTACCCAGGAAGAAGAAGAAAAATAATAATAATAATAATAAGAAACAGAGTAAAAACAATATGTTCCCCAACTTCGTTTGGGGAACATAATAATAAGAAACAGAGTAAAAACAATATGTTCCCAAACTTCATTTGGGGAACATAATAATGGAATAAACATACATCTTGACACGTGTAATAATGGAATAAACATACAACGTACATGTACAAAGCATATAATATTTCTGATAATCTATAAAATTGATAAAGATGCAGTTCTTGAGGCATTCGCTAATTGCAAAAATTTTCCTCAATTACATAATTCTTTTATATTCTGTGTACTGAGTAGCTTTACCAATTTGAAGACGCTTGGTCTTCGGGAGTAGTAGGATTTAATGTATTTTTGGCTTAATGTGTTGTAATGTGGACATTTTAACACAAAATGGAATTCATCTTCTATGTTACCTAATTGATAGAGACTACATGTTCTGTTATTTCTCAAAGTTTGTTTATATCTTCCTTGTTCAATCATTAAGTTATGCGCAGATAGTCTTAATCTGGTAATTGTTACTCTATATTTTAGATGTATTGGTTTACATAAATAAGACTGAGGGGTAAAATTATCTACCAGGTGTTGATAAATGAGACATTTTGGTGATTTACCTAAATCTGACATAATGTTTTGGATAAATTCGTCACACATTCTCTGATATAAAATATCAATTGTGTTACTATTTATACAATTGCTATCGAATAGTTCTACTAAGCAAAGCCTATAAAATTCATTCTTAATATTTACAATCCAGTCATCATCATTTTCTAATCTTTCTTGTAGACATGCTTGAAGAATGCAATTGTCACTATTTCTTAATTTTAATTAGTTTTTAAAGATTTTCTTTTTCCTGTCCAATTCAAGAGGCAATTTACCTAATTCACAATATACCATACTGTTATATGTATTCTGTCTAACCTTAAGTATTCTTTTACAAAATGAAAGATGTACTTTTTCTATATCTTTAGCTTTGTGTCATCCCCAAATTTCAGATGCATAACACAGTACAGAGCTAATATAAGTCTCAAACATATCTAATTGTGTTTTAACGTTAAAATTCAAATCTTTCATTCTTTTCAAAACACTATACATGGCTTTTCTTCCCTGTGATGCAAAATGTTGTTGTGTTTTTGCAAATTTACCATTAAAATTAAACAACATACCAAGATAATTTAACTCATTAACTACTTCTACAGTATTCCCATCATATTTCCAGTGTTCGTTAGCTCTAATATGTCCACTGTTTCTAAACACTAATATTTTTGTTTTTTTTCAGCATTAACAGTTAAACTCCACTCTAATGTATATGTATACAATAAATTTAACATATTTTGTAGACCCTCTGGTGTTTCTGACATTAATACTGTGTCATCAGCATACATAAGTAAAAATAAATTAATCATTTGTAGTTCTATTGATGGACTATTGGTAGATATAAAATGATTTCCAAAATCATTGATATACATTGAAAACAATAATGGTGACAAAATTTCACCTTGTAATACACCGGTTGTAATATTAAAATACTCTGACAGTTCTCCATATGTTTTATACATGCTTTCACCTTCTGATAAAGTGATTTAATTATACACATCATTTTTCCATCTATACCATATAATTTAAGCTTCATCCACAGACTAGATCTATTAACATAATCAAAAGCTTTTTTATAGTCAATAAAACAATACAATCTTTTCTTATTTCTAAGCATCTTATTTACCAGAGTTTGCAAAAATTGCATCAATGGTACTTGCATTGTGTTTAAAACCAAATTGTGCATCTGTCGTTATATTACATGTGTATATATATGATTATCTAGCAAGGTGACTTCACTCCATTGCAGGTTTTTATGATTATCTAGGAGGGTGACTTCTCGCCATTGCATGTTTATATGATTATCTATGATGGTGCTCTAGAGTCGCGAAGTAAGGAGTTCGAATCCCACTGTATTAAGTAGTCAAACAATATGCAATTATCCCATTTAATATTTCTGCATTGATTCAACCAATACTTTGATATTTTCATATTGGATAAATACCGTATGAGTGGAAATTTTTAGCGAGACGCAAATTTAGCGATTTGTCCCTAAGAGATGTTAATTAAGCGATTTTAAAATGTACACCAAAGAACTATAACAAATAAAATGCTATTAAGGATGGATTCTTGTCAGCATTTTACGTCGTCAATGGGTCTCCATAGATTTTGGAAGTCGTAAAATGCAAATTACATATTTAATCAATCTGAATAAATAATTATTGTTTTATTTATTAGTTTATGTATTGTTGAGTCTATTTCTATTAAAGAAATTAAGTTGTTCGTGATTTTTTCTTTGATTTGCGACAATTGCCATAAAATGCGCAGTTCCGTAGAGAATGTCAACATGTCCAGGTCGTTTCCCGTAGATAACCCCGAGAGGATTGTTTTGTAAAATATACAAGCCGTAAACATTATTGAAGCATTGTAGAAGCCCAGGGATGATTAAAACAATTTTAAGTCACCCATTTCTTTATGCCCGGAACACCCGATCAACCAAAGGAAACTTGAACTGTTGAAGGTCACAAACATGCGAGATTGCAGACCCACGTTGCCTCGATCGCCTGATGTACGTCATGTCGGGTCACTGTGCAGTGAGATTGTATATGTAAGTTAGTTATGTATGTCTGACAATTTAATTTATAATTTTGAAATTGAATTACGTGGTTTTTACTGATAAATGGGAATTCGCAAAGATATTATAGATCGATGTATTTCGTATGATGTTCCCCATATGTTCCCGCGACTGTTCAACATTTGAGGATTAAAATTTATAATTTCCGTGTATTCGTCAGTTTTATGAATAATAATTATTCACAAAAATAGTATTTTTTGAATATAATTACAACAAGTTACATTTTTGTTAAAGACACAGCAATCATCAAGTTGTTAGAAAAAGTAAGGTGTTCCGTTTGGGTACAAATCAAAGTGAAAAATGAGTATATATTGTGTGGAAAAATCAATAACATTGAGACAAACAGTTGTCTAATTTATGGAGCAAAATGAAACACAATGGTCCAGAAATTATTTATATTATTGTATTTTTTCTGTGCTTTTAGGTTTAAAATGTTTTTTTTAATAGTACAAATTTAAATAAGACATTATACACTGTTATACAACGTGGTGTATAAAATAAAATATATTTATTAAAAAACTTCATTCATTTTTTTTTTTATAAATCAATAAATGAAATTCAGATAAGATTGAATGTTTAATCTTATAACCAGTTTTTGTTAATTTAAAAACAATTGCCTAAGAACTGTTCATGTTTAATTATTAGGAGCAAACAGCCCTACAGTACTTAATTTACCCAGGAGTAGACTACTTGTAGTTGAAGGTAGACTGAAGGCCAGACTTAGGCAGGATGATTGAACAAAGTCTGCTTGCAGATAGACTACCTGAGGTACATAATTATAAGAAATATGAACACAACTGTATCTAACTATTATATAAATAGTGCATGTTTTTGAGGGCTACAATCCAAATTGACACCCCGAGGAAAACCATTGTCAACTGATACAAGGGATGTCAATTTTAAATATTACTGACTGAGTTCAAGGGCAACCTGTGTTTAATCAGATTCAAGATCCAAAGTGTCTGCCTGAGACAGATAGGCCAAAGGCAGACAATTTGGTTTGAGGATCGACAAAATGTATTTGCTTGAGAACACAGTCAGTAAATGTTTTGTGATACCTTTCATTTTAATATTTATTTAGATGTATATGTATCTTGTACTGTCTTGAACTTCACGTCCGTCACTGCTAAACATCAACAAATGCAAATTAGATTAAGCTCCACCAATTGTGTGATGTACATGTAAGCGGTCCAACATTTCATTGACCGGTCCAACATCTCACTCAGTGGTTTAATGAATATCAATTGTTTTATGCCCGCTCAGCAAAACATTAGAAATGTATAGATTTGTATAGAAACAAATTTTTAAAAGTATGACAATAAGGATTGTTAGATGCATATATACTAATCAGATTTTAGTATTTAACTTGAATGTATAATACACTGTAACATGTAATGCAGCATTTTTACTGCTATGCGTATATTTAATCCTTTTTTTATAATTGTAGGCAAAAAAATTGGACTCTCAGGAGGTGAACAGATGTTCAGCAAGAAATTCGCACATCAAGTGAGTGATGAACTAAAAAGATTTTCTCATTTTTCAGCAAGTTAAGATTTTCCCTCAAATTCATTAAAAATCATATCTGAGAAGCATTTAAACAAATAATATCAGATCAATATTCAAAAGAGAAAAGGTTCCTAATTCACCAAACTAAAATGTTATCAAGTTATTGTTGTTTTTGATGATTTCAGATGCTGTGAATTACACTGATATCCCCCCCCCCCCACCAAAAAAAAAGAACAGAGAGACCAATCATTAACAGCTTGAGACTTGGTGCACGTAACCTTGCCACAGAAAAGGGGATTTGCCTATAAACACTCCTTAATGAAAGATTTTGTAAATTATTTGTTACACAGGAGAGATTTAAGATGTATTTCGTTTTTATTTAGCTACCAAAAATACAATAATTATAAGTTTAACTTTTGAAAGGAAGTTGATGTATTTTTTTCTTGAAAAGAAAAGTATCAAATTTGTCTCATATACCTTTGATAGTCAATGTACAGAAATACTGAAAATAACGCTTATTTATTAGGTCACCTGAGTAACTCAGGTGACCTATTGCTATCCGTTTTCGTCCGTCGTCGTGTGTCGTGTGTCGTGCGTCGTGTGTTAACATTTGAACATTTTCAGCTTCTTCTCTGAAACCACTTAACCAATTTCAACCAAATTTGGCGTATAGCATTTATGGGTAAAGGGGAACAAAAATTGTGAATTTTATGGTCCCTGCCCCCCTGGGGCCTGGGGGGTGGGGCAAAAACCACTTAAATTATTGCAATCTTTAAAAATCTTCTTCTTTACTCCTGGACATCAAGCAGGCAAACTGTTGTTAAGAAAGTAATGAGCATTGAGTCCTCTACTTAAATTGTGAAATTCATGGCCCCAGGGTCAGGGGTTCTAGTGCTAGGGCGGGGCTATATAGATTATATAGTGAAAATGCATTATTTCTTTGAAAATCTTCTTCTCTGCTCCTAGGTATTAAATAAACTAACCAAGCACATAGTTATGATGAGCAAGAGTGCCTATTTCAAAATTGTGAATTTTGTGACCCCAGGGTCGGGGGTTCTGGTGTTAGGGCGAGGCTCTATTGGTTATATAGTGAAAATGCATTTTTTCTTTGAAAATCTTCTTCTCTACTTCTGAGTATCAAATAAACTAACTAAGTACTTAGTTATGATGAGCAAGAGTGCCTCTTCCAAAATTGTGAATTTTGTGGCCCCAGGGTCAGGGGTTCTGGTGTTAGGGTGGGGCCCTATTGATTATATAGTGAAAATGCATTTATTCTTTGGAAATCTTCTTCTCTGCTCCTGGGTATTAAATAAACTAACCAAGCACATAGTTATGATGAGCAAGAGTGCCTCTTTCAAAATTGTGAATTTTGTGACCCCAGGGTCAGGGGATTTGGTGTTAGGGCGGGGCTCTATTGATCATATAGTGAAAATGCATAAATTCTTTGAAAGTCTTCTTCTCTGCTTCTGGGTATTAGATAAACTATGTAATTAAATAGTTATGTTGATCAAGAGTGCCTCTTTCAAAATTGTGAATTTTATGACCCCAGGGTCAGGGGTTCTGGTGTTAGGGCGGGGCTCTATTGGTTATATAGTGAAAATGCATTTATTCTTTGAAATTCTTTCCTTTGCTTCTGTGTTTATGCCTATGATCCAAATATATATATTCATGGTGAAGAAAGGTGCACCTAGCAAAATGGTTATTTTTTATGCCCCCGCCCCTTCCCTGGGACGGGGGGGGGGGTAACAAGGTAAAAAATTAATTAATGCTTTGAAATTTGCTCTTTGGTGTTAATCAACCATTTTATGATAAAATTTGCAAAATTTTAAAATATGTGGCCCCAGGATCAGTGGTTCCTTTGGGATGAGGTGTACAACTGGTTATAAAGTGGAAGTGCATTTTCTCTTAATTGTACTCTGATCTACCTCTAGGTATGAAGTAAATAGAGTTAGCATGCTAAGTCTAAATTATTATAAGCAATGGTACCTCTTTCAAAATTGTGAATTGCGAATTCCATGGCCTCTGGTTATAACATGAACCAAATTAAATTGTTTGAAAGTTGTTGCACAATACTCAGGTGACCTATAAGGCCCGTGGGCCTCTTGTTAAGAAATACCATATATTTAGAAATCATTGTAATACATATTGGTGTGTATTATTGTGTAAATTATATTATTGTGTGATTTATGTATAGCCTCAAAATCTAGATGCAGTGTATTGTCTAAAATTGTATGAACAATTGGTGATTCTTATACTAGTATGTTGCACCCTTGACAATTATTTTAATTGTGTTGGTGCTGATAAATATTTATATACATGTCATATATTAGTTCATGTACAAAACATATAAAGATTCTATAATATAATATAAAGTTTTGGCCTTTAACTCAGCAAAAATATACTTTTTTTGTAAATAATGAAACCATTATATTTTATAACAGAGGAAATTCGGATTGAATTTTTAAAAGTTTTTTTGGAAACATGGCAATAATTTCAACAATTGTTTCCAAAATAATACATCATATCACATTTTAGAGAAAATGTATTATATAACCGCCTGTCCTGTCTATTAAATTATTAGCCTATATGAAATATTGAAAGCATTTTCTTTTTTCAATGATAATTTTTAAAATGAGGAAAATCGAGCTAACCTGGCAATTTAATAAATATGAATACCCCTTTATTTTTTTGTTGTAAATGATTCATTCAACATCTATCTTTCCTATGGTTGTAAAAATATTTTTTTCTGAATATTTGATTTAAGTAAAAAAATTAAATGAAAAAGAATGATTGTCAAATGAATGATTCAAAAGAATAATTGTCAAAGACTTAATTATCACTTTATAAAGAGTACAGAGGAAATTCGGAATAAATATTTTGTGTCATTTGTGATCAAAAGTTTGTTATTTTTTTACTTTAGTACATTGCTTTAACATAAAACTTAAGACTTAAATTGTTTTTTCATATCTAAACATCTCCATTTTTCCAAAACATCAAATCTAAAATACCAGATTGGATTTTCTCAATTCCACAGGAGGAAAAAATCTATTTTTAGCATCAAATTTTCAAATGACCTTCAAGCAAAATCAAGGATGAAGACCCCACATCTTTTTCTTGTCATTTAATTGTGCATATCTTGAAATGTTTCCAAGCATAATTGCATTATTTTCTGAATATATAAAATAGGAAAAGAATCCAGAATGTATTTGATAAAATTGTCAAACCTAACTTATTCCTAGGAATAAAATGACAGAGGAAATTCGAAATAAATATTTTTAAATATTATTTGTACAAACTTTCATAAAATGAAATGTATAAATGGAAGAATTGAATGTATATATATGTCACAATTACACCAAATTGCCTGTTTTGGGGGGTTAAGAATCTTTCTTTTAGATTTGAACACCACTCTGTAAAATGGAAGATTTCAGAAACTGTTGAGTAAATTCGGGCTAAATTTGTTCTATAATTAGCATGAATACCATATCTTTTCTACCTTGTAGATTAATCTTCAACATTTGAATACTCATCTGACAAAAATCTAAATATTTGACATTATATGATCAATTGTAAAAATTGAGATGAAATTTCATGTAAATTTATGAAAACTTAGAATTTTGAAACAAATTATCGAGGAAATTCGGATTGAATGTTTTTATTGAATATTGAGGATTTCATGTTTTTTCCCCACCATCTCAATTCATGTTAGTTAGTGATCAAAAATAAGTTACAACTTTAATTTTATTGAGCTATATTGTTCCTCAATATTTGAATAAACAAGTGCAAATTGAAGGCGTCGTCGGTCTGCAAGTTTCGCTATGAGAGTTGTTGTTTATGTCAACATGGCCATGGTCAAAGACGAACTATTCTGAAGTAAACTCGTAATTACGATATTTGTTGACTTAAATAACATTCCATTAGTCGTTATAAGTTACTTTATCGATTGTTTTGACAATTTAAGTTGAACTCTATCGAAATTCATCTCGATTACGTTCCTTTACAGTAAAATGTATTCCTACGCCGTCCAGAAATAACGGATTGTATGGAGACCTCAAAGAGAAATAATTTAAATATTTTTAAAAATTCGATATTGGAATTATAAGAATTAAACGTTCTTTCTGAAAAATTTATCGATGTGTAAACTCTTGACATTTTACTCACAAACTTAACATAAAAGTGCTTCGCACTTTTATTTAGTTTGTGAGTAAAATGTCAAGAGTTTACACATCGATAAATTTTTCAAAAAGAACGTTTAATCCTATATTAATTTAGATTGAAATGAAAGCGTCTGTTTGTTCAAATTATGATAGAGTGAGGTCATAATAAGATCACAGTTTTACACCGATATATCGATAATGATATTAAATTAATTTGATATGATATTATAATACGAGTGTTTATTCATAGTATTCATGTAGAGAAATGAATAAAATTGTTGAATGTTATTCGTTGAACTGGCAGTATTAGTTCAATTAATGTCAAAGTAGTTCATTACATCCTCCTGAAGCGCAACTTTCCTGCCAAAGTGTATCCGATATTTCCTTCTTTTTTAGATCACCTGAGTAAACTCAGGTGACCTATTGCTATCTGTTTTCGTCCGTCGTCGTGCGTTGTGCGTTGTCCGTTAACATTTGAACATTTTCAGCCTCTTCTCTGCAACTACTGAACCATTTTCAACCAAATTTGGCACAAAGCATCTATGGGTGAAGGGGAACAAAAATTGTGAATTTCATGATCCCTGCCCCCCTGGGACCTGAGGTGGGGCCAAAACCACTAAAATTAATGCAATCTTTAAAAATCTTCTTCTTTACTCCTGAACATCAAGCAGTCAAACTGTTTGCATGATTGTAACCAGCATTGAGTCCTCTACCAAAATTGTGAAATTCATGGCCCTGGGGTCAGGGGTTCTTGTGCTAGGGCGGGGCTAAATAAGTAGGTAGTGAAAATGCATTATTTCTTTAAAAATCTTCTTCTCTGCTCCTGGGTATTAAATAAACCAACTAGGTACATAGTTATGATGAGCAAGAGTGCCACTACCAAAATTGTGAATTTTGTGGCCCCAGGGTCAGGGGTTCTGGTGTTAGGGCGGGGCTCTATTGATTATATAGTGAAAATACATGAATTCTTTGAAAGTCTTCTTCTCTGCTACTGGGTATTAAATAAACTAACAAAGTACATAGTTATGATAAGCAAGAGTGCCTCTACCAAAATTTTGAATTTTGTGGCCCCAGGGTCAGGGTTCTTGTTTAAGGGTGGGGCTCTAATGATTATATAGTGAAATGCATGATTTATTTGAACATCTTATCCTTTGCTCTTGGTTAATATGCTTATGATCTAATTACATATTTAAGGCCAGGATTTATTTTATTTTCAGTTTTACA